AAAGTTCTAACTCCATCAATTTAAAGTTCTGACTCCATCAATTAGAAGTTCGGACTCCATCAATTCAAAGTTCTAACTCCATCAATTTAAAGTTCTGACTCCATCAATTTAAAGTTCTAACTCCATCAATTTAAATCTCTGACTCCATCAATTTAAAGTTCTAACTCCATCAATTTAAAGTTCTGGCTCAAAAAATTTAAAGTTCATATCGATATAAAGTTTCCTCACTAAATATAAAGTTCTAACTTCACCCAATTTTAATTATTGATTCCATCAATGTAAATCTAAATATGATTTTATTAATTTAAAGTTCTGACTCTGCCACAGGATAATTAATTTTTTGTTATGATATGTGAGGTTAGTGGCCCGGTTTATAGTCCTGGATTCAGTGTATAGTGAAGCATGTATATTTTCATATTCTTCATAATAATTCAAAATTCAGGAAAATCATTTAGCTTTTTATACAGTAAAACCATAAATATAGAATGCATTGAAAGAATTTCATAAATGTCGCCTTGAACATTTATAATGGGTTTTGCCGCTGAAAATTTTATAACTAGAAGCATAGTATCCCAAAGCCTAAAACTTAAGACAGGGTATTTTTGTGAAAACCAGTTTTGAAACCCCGGTTTCACGAATGGGGTTTGGCAGTTTTGTGGATATCAATATTTTTGTTATAATATTATTTAATTTTACTTTCTTAATATTCTGCATTTTTATAAAATCTCCTAATTTTAAAAGGAAACTAAGGAGTTTCGTTCAACGATATATTCTTTTAAATTTTGGTAATTGTACGGAATGTACTGAAGCTGTCGTATATTTTCTCAAGCTGTCATTCTACAGAGGAAGCTGCTTGAAGCTTAAAGAGATATATGTAGGCAAGAAATATATAGACCAGGAACCGCCATAACTTGATAAATAAACTTGTTTTTTTTGGACTGTAATATCACATCAGCACTTTAGTCCTTTCCCTTTAACTTCTGTGGGGGCACTGGGTTTGTTTACATTCCTCCCACAGTGTACAGTACACAATTTGCATATATCTGAGTTCCTGTATATGTTTCTTTTATGTAGGTTACTAAAACAACATAAAAATTTCTTTGTTGAAAGTGGTTTTTTTTCGATTGCGAATTTTTTTGTCTCTTTTTTTTTGTAAAAATAAATAAAAAGTAATGAAATATGCGTGGACTGTGGAGACATCTTTTAAGAGCTCTATGTACATATTTAATCAAAAAATATATATTTGCGGCATTCTATTATCAGTAGATTTAGAAAAAAAAACGACATTTAATAAATTATCCGATGTATTCTATATTTAGGGTTTAATTGTACATATTTTTACATTGAAAACCATGCACGTGCATTTAACGGTTCTGTCAATATTCCAGAGAGCTGTGAATTTCGATTACAATTTGAGCCATTAAACATTATATTTTAGCCTTTTTTCTCAATAAATTTTTTGTCGGCATATGCATTTTGAATGAAAAAGTCAGGAATATACAAACCTGTAAGGTTATAGATTATTGAATTGTAGACCAAAACACGTTTGATTTCAAATAAAAGAAACCGAATGCTTCTCACTCTACTCTGTAGAATAGGAAGACGACATTAAAGCAAAACTGAAGTCCATAACATGATGTTACAAAGCAAATAAATTTACTTCTAAATAATTTAATACATTATTAAATAAAATGGGTCTGTGTCTCATGTTTATTTAACTATTTTTACTATTTAAAGCCACAACTTGGGTCTGACAGTTGATTTCCTATTCTAGAGTTTTCTGTTTATCACTGCATGTAGTTTGATGGTTTAAAAAATCATATTAAAAGTCGCAAAGAAGCTTTTGCTTGAAAAATTACCGGAAAATATCTTTTTAGGGAGAAATATAAATTTCCTCCTTAAATAACAGAAACAAATGGAAAAAATTTGGTTAAAAGAAATGGATCCAAGATCAGATCTGAGTAACTGATAAACACTCAAACTCGACTTTCTAATCCTTAAACGTTAAATACCTTCAAATTTTAGATAATAGAGTCAACAAATAGGTATATTCCTAGAGAACGATTTTTGAANAATAACATAACTATTTTCATGTAAAGATGATAATGCCTCATTTACAAGGGTACCTTTGAATCGTTGATCTGATATAATGTGTGGAAGATAAAAGCCATTAATCATTCAGTAAATCTAAAATCAGGCACTGCATTCTTCAGGACAGGATTGTCCCTGAAAAGATCTAATTAAAATTAAATATTTATAATTTTGTTGTAAAAAATGTTAACAAATAATTGTTATGAGAAAAATCTTATCTCATTTTTGAAAAATATTATTATTTTCAAAAGTAAAATTCAATCATTTAACATATGTAAGTGTAAGAAAATCATGATTTTGACAATTACATAATGTAGATTTCAAGATTAAGGCAAAATACAGAGGTTTGGATGTTATATTGTATTGTCCTGGTCTTTAATGTATCATAATATATTAAGAAATATATTTAGAGCAGAATATAATTTTATTTTACCTAACAGTTTAAAAGAATTTGTTATTCTTTAAGTATTAACAAGTATATACTAATTAAAAAAAACATTATCTCAAATAAAGCAATCATGGAAATAGTGGAAGTAATATAAAATTGGATACTTTGTAATGTTAAAGATAAAAGTATAGTTTCCCAACATAGTTGGGTTGTCAAGTTGACTTAAAGGGAGTGTTAGCGAAAAATGAAAGGGGATATAGGCTTAATGCAATAAAAAAGCGTTTTTGATCGCTACTAATCTTACTTCTATCTGTTGTGTCTATAAGGAGAAAACTGATAAAAACATCTTATACCGAAGAGCGTAGCGCCCATACAAATTGAGGGAGTTGGAACATACGACTTAGACCATACCCTATACCCCCTATAGCCTATACCCCCTATAGCCTATACCCCCTTTCATTTTTTGTGAACACTCCCTTTAAGGGAGAAAAATAAAAAAATTAAAGAAAAATAACATTTTTATAGTGAGTATAAACTATATTTTCAGAGATTATTACTATAGGATCAGTACAGTGTTATGTCTGTTTCCAGAAGAGCTACTGGGAATTTCAGGGACAAAGTTTGTAGTATCTACCTGAGCATTGTAGTTCCAGGATACAGGTTTTGTGAAGCAGACATATAACTGTAGTCAATCAATCATTCAATAACCTCAACCTATTCAAATTCCTATCAGGCCAATAGTTGTTAATGAATAAATTTTGCACCAAACAAAGCAACTAAATTAATATTATTAATAAAATGATATTATCTGCCAACTTATTGTAATTAAGGAAAGATTAAAAAAAATGTCATAACATGTTATTATAAATATTGTCAGTATGATAATCATTAATTAGCTTAATACTCACAATCAATATATAAGAAAAGCTGGGTGCACAAGCTGTTTAAACATTAGTTAATTAATTATAAGGAAATGATATGATTAACTTTGTTAATGGGAGTTTAGACTTAATTCAAAATCTTTAGACAGGCATGTTAAAGTCACAATTGTACCTGAAATTACAGGGACAAATCTTCACTGGCAGAATAAAACCCCTTCTATTCAAGACATTCTTATTCCAACTGTAACCATTGGGCCAGAGTTTAGATGCAGCAAGTATTATTCACTAAATCAATACATGAATGAAAACTAAATCAGCTCTTGTTGAAGTAATCTTGAATCAAAGAAACAAATGAATTGTAATAGGATAAAAATTTATTTTAATTGATAGAGAATATTTTCACCATACCTTTAAACTAGTAATTAGTTGAGTGCATCCAAGTTCCATTACTGTGAGAGATAAGATACTTCTTCAGTACAGGGTTGTACATGAAAAATTTAAATAAACTTTTAAATTTTAAATTTTGTTTATACATATTTTAAGAAAGAATTAATATGGATTATAAACCTAAAAATTAGTTATACAAATGAATTGATATTATTTTAAGAAAAGAAGGAATTAAAAAAATTTAGGAAAAAGTCAATTTTCATCCAGTTTAACTGGAGAAAAAAAATGATTTAAGAGTTCAATAAAATTCAGGTTTATTGGCTTACAGTTGATAGTTTTTTTGAATATTGATTAAAGGGATAATTAAGATACAATATACTCTGCAGATTTCCAATGCATTGTTAAACTGAGTATTAATAACAGTTATAATATAGAAAATGTTCTTTTTCATTGAATGATTAATTAAGTGAGGACATACAATTTTTATAATAATTATTTCAAATCAATTAATTAAGGAATTTGTATTAAACATAAAAAACTAAAAATATTCAATAAAGTTTTAAACCACTGGATGATTTATAAAATATATTAGTTAGAGAAAAGCTTGATTATAACTTGAAATGTGACCATGATTATTAAAATGATATGTCACAAGTAATTACCTTCAATAGAGATTATTGATGAGTTGTGTAAAGTTGACACGAGTTAGCAGAGGAAGTATACCTAGTAGATCCTTGATGTATGGGTAAAAAATAAAGTTAATTTATGTTTTAAGCTTATATACGCTTGATTCACTTCTAAAACATGAATGGTAAAAATTGTGATTGCAAAGTCATGGTTTGAGGAGTAGGGTAACCCTCTTTTCCTCAAACCACTGTTTACAAACACAACTACTTACTATCCATGTTTATTAGCACAGAAGGATACCCATTGTTACACCACTGAACCAAACAATAGGTATCCCCGCTTAAAGAGCAACATGCTAACTTATTTATAATGGAGGTCCAGTGGTTGTGAATTTTGAATGTCTTTGTCCATTAATAATTGTAAGAATAGTTAGATAAAACTTATGAATATAGCAATAGTAATTTGAGTGAAAAATTAAATTAAACTTATAATTATGAGAAAGAAAAAATATAATGGGAACCAGTTGATCTGACAAAACATGGATTCCCCACCAATTATTGGTATTAAATGACCTAGGAATCCATGTTCATCTAACTCAGACCAACTGATCAAACCATATGTCCAGGGACATATGCTTTGAAGAAATGGAGGTCATTACCTTATAGAAAATTTGGTGCCATGTTCCCAGTTCCTACTAAATTCTATCCGCAGGGTCAGTAGCTCCCATCACAACAAACACCAGCCCTAAGGAGCTACCCACCTTTTATTATACACGGATAGTTTAATGGTGTGGGTTCTTTTTGAACTCCACCCGTTACTGGTGTTACAATATATTTTAAAAATTCTTTTTTTTTTATTTGTTAAATGATAAAATATTTAGAAATAAAGTATTACTTATAGGAATATCAATATCATTTAGTTTCTTTAAGTTTTTTTTATTTAATAAAAATCTTAGGAAGAATTTTAAAGTGTTTTTAGACTTAATTATTAATTATTTTAGAAATAATTTATATATCATTGGAGATTAATTTCAAGTATTTGGTTAATTAGGAAATAACAAAAACCGTTGGTGAGGTTAGGTTATATCTTGATTACCCACAGCATATTAAAAGAATCATCAAAATACTGAAAAAAAGTTATTTTCAGAAAAAAACAAAAACACTGATGACTATGTAGTTGGAAAAGATATTACATCTAATCTACACTCCCCAGTGCAATAGTAGCCAGAGCCTAATACTAACAATATTCAAAGTAGTGGAAGACATACACACTGAAAGTTAATCAGAGTTAATTTCCATGGATGACAGATTTTCAAGGTCAAACATATTTTAAATAATGATTAAAGATTGTCATGCAATTACAATTAAAATAATAACTGGAGGAGGACAGTACAGCAATGTATAGATGTGTGTCCTGCAACTACAGCTATAAAAATAGCAATAGCAGAAATCTGACACTACTGCTTATCATTTGTCCTCCTACTACAGTTACATTAGTAGGAACATAAATTGCTCCAATTAAAAGATTTTAATCTAAATATATATCCAAGAAATAAACTAATGATTATTTAAGGTTACAAAGGGTGAAGAAGAAGTAGACTATTTACCATAGGAGTTAATGTTTAATTTAATTTTATACTGAGTGTAGAAACGGGGGGGTCTTAAAATTGCTTTAAATTCAATTAAAAAGTATTCATTGTAAATTCATTTTCAGTATATGGGTAATCATGAAACAAATACCGATGGTGAGGCTTCTGTTATTTGCTGATTACCCATAGCATAATCAAAGAATTGCCAAAATAATGAAAGAAATAGCTACTTAATAAAAAAACAAACAAAAATAACAAGACACTGAAGATAATGAAAAGATGAAACTTTTGCTGTGTGTGACAGAAAAAATAAGTTGCTTACTACTGAAGTTGGAAATATACATTGTAAATTAATTTTCAATATATGGGTAATCATGAAACAAATACCGATGGTGAGGTTTCTGTTATTTGCTGATTACTCATAGCTAATCAAAGAATTGCCAAAATAATAAAAGAAATAGCTACTTGATAAAACAAACAAAATTAACAAGACACTGAAGATAATGAAAAGAAGATGAAACTTTTGCTGTGTGTGACAGAAAAAATAAGTTGCTTACTACAGAAGTAGAAAATATACATTGCAAATTAATTTTCAATATATGGGTAATCATGAAACAAATACCGATGGTGAGGCTTCTGTTATTTGCTGATTACCCATAGCATAATCAAAGTATTGCCAAAATAATGAAATAAATAGCTATTTAATAAAAAAAGAACATAACACTAATGACTATAGTTGAAGAAAATACTACATTTAATTACAAAGTGTTTTCTGCAGTCCCAACTACAATAGTAGTCAGGGCAGGACACTAATAATATCCGAAAAGGTTTGATCTGCATCCAGGCTACATAAGTAGCCAAAGAGAGACACAGGGAAAGTTAGTCAGAGTCAACTTCCATGTCTGACTGATCTTCAAGGGCAAGATGGGCTAGCTCTTGCTCAAATTGCTCCTGCCTGGCTTGCTCCATAACAAGTTTGGCTGCCTCCTCCTGTTTCATGGCTTTAAACTGTACAGATGCAGCTATAGTTTGAAAGCGCTTGAAAGGGGGCATCTTTCTGAGAGCCAGATTAGAACGAGATCGAACCCTGGTGAGTGCAGTGTAGGTGAGCCCAGGAGAAAATTCACTGCTCCCAAGGTCGATGAGGACATCGTTCAAGGTCTGGCCCTGGCTCTTATGGATGGAGAGTGCATAGCCAGGCAGGAGGGGCAACATAGTCCGTGACTGGCTCTTTTTACGAACCAGCCAGCTGCGAGTGATAACACCCACTGGATACACATTGGGCACATCAGGGAGACAGCTCTCTCCCCTGAACTCATCAAACTTGACAAGGACTGTCGGAAAGGGGTCCTCTTCAGAGATAAAGATGATGGCCACCACCGTACCCATGGATCCATTGGTTAAACCTTGGTCCAGGCAAAGGTTGGCTGTGAGCATGACTCGCATGTCTCTACAGAGGACAAGATTGGTGGGGAGTCCACCAGCACTGGATGAGTCCAGACTAGCACAGGAGACTGGGTCATTGACTGAAGAAATGAGAAGACGGGGTGTTCCACAACCCATGATTTTGTCTCTGTTGAAGGCAGAATAATCTGCCTTTACAGCACACAAAAGGGTAGCTGAGTTGGAGAACCTGACCTGATCTGCTGTGGACAGATTGTCAATGAAACGGGCCTCTAAAACAGCATAGCTAGCTGCATCTACAACACCCTTGACATACTGGTCCAGGAGATGTTTAAAAGGTTCATCGTCAGCCTGCCGTTGCAGCACAGTGAGAATGATGGTTTTGTTGAATGCCTTGAAACATTCCAAACCAGCACGCTGAATAGCAGTGGTATTTCTGCGGGGTGCAGCATATAGACAAGTGTCCATTACTGGGTTCAGCTGTTTAAAGTCCCCCATTAGGAGGACTGAAACCCCACCAAAGAGCTGTTCGGTATTGCAAAAGATTTGCTGCATGCGCCTATTGACAAGGGACAGTGCACGAGCTCCAACAAATGATTTCTCATCAATGATAAGCAGCTTGA